GGGACGAGCGCGGCCCCGAAACGCGGCGCCGGGGGGCGTTTCCTGCGGGCCGCCCCCCTCTGCCCCGGGCTGAGTTACCGGAACGAGCGCCAGCTCCGGTTTGCCCTTCGCTCGGCGGGAGATGAGGAGGAGGAAAAAATGCCGAGTTCGATTGAAGTTAGTTTTCCGAGAAGGCACAAGAAACCAGCGCGTCCCAGCAGATGCGAGCTCGGGGGGTTGCCGCGCAACAAGTTTTTAGTTGAGAAAATAAAAGTAGCACTCTGTTGAACTTGCTCGCCTTTGCCTTTTCTGGCCGTGTTTGTCTCCCGTACAGCAAAAAGCGACGGTGGAAGTGCTGGATCACTTGGAGCACCTGGCCTTGGTTGATTTCCGCGACGCAGAGGGCGTGGAGCGGCTGCAGAAAGCAATCCAGTTTGCTGAGCAGCTTCATGAAGTAAACACCGATGGAGTAGAACCGATGGATTCGGTCCTGGAGGACAGGTGATGAGTCACAGCAGCCTCCTTTTAACTGTTAATGCTCCAAACTATTTGCTTTTGTAACTCCCCCCCCCCCCCCCCCCCCACCCCGGGCATCACCCTGGTTGTGCATTGGGCCCCTTTGCTAACTGAGAAGTCTTACCGTGGTTTTGTGTGGAAGGAAGATGTCACTGGCACCTTTATGCGTAAGCATCGCAACGATGAGCTCCAATTCCTTTGTGCATCTTACTTGTCATGAGTGATCTGCACACGCTGCTTCCCAGATACCTGTCGGTGGCATTCTCGGTTGCTGCAAAATGTTCCGATGCTTGTCTTACCACTTACTTGAGACCAAAACCAGGTTTAGCGATAAGCTGCACATCGCATTTCATATTCATAGAATAGCTTAAGGACGGGCTAGTAATCTTTGTTCTTCAGGTGTCTGTATCTCAGAGAAGATGATGTTACAGAAGGCAACTGCACAAACGAGCTGCTGAAAAATGCCAGAGAGAAAGTAGAGGAATATTTTGTAGCCCCACCAGGTATTGTCTTGCTTATAAAAAAACCTCTCAATTTTGCTTGAATTAACCTGAGGAATGTAACCTGCCATAACTGCATATACTTTCAGAAGTATTAGCCAGTAATAAGGAAGTACTAAAATAAGTAACTGAAGCCATCTGAGAAAAACAAACTGCAATCTATTGGTCCAAAAGCAGTACAGAAGCTAACCTAACTCTAAAGTTACCACACATGTTGAGCGATCATTTACACAAGTCAGAACTTGCTTTTCTTTCTTGTGCAGGAAATTTAAGCAGCCTGTGAGTACCTAGAATAAACTGGAGAAGCGCTTTACTGCTAAGCTGTGCTACCCAGAAGGTAACTTACAGCTTGGTCTCACACAATTTTCTTTCTGTTCTCCATCAGGTAACATCCCTCTACCAAAGCTAGAAGAAAGAGAGACTTTTCTGCAGGGCTCTTAGCGAAAGCCCAGAACCCAAATGCCGTTTTGGTATTTTATTTGGGAAAACTAAGGTTTGTGCAGTCACAGCTGAGAAACCCTGGCATGCATTTTGATCAAAAGAAGCACACTTGAAGACAATTTACAGAAGGAGGAAGGTGTGAAAAGTTTAGCAGTACGACTGGAATATTCAGTGTTTATGAAGCTGGAAGGCAGCATGACAGATGACCTTAGTGCTTTTATTTAGCAAAGCGAGTTTGGCATTATTCTTCAAGATACGGAATGGCTTAAACGTTTTAAAGAGAACCTTAAAAGGTGATGATTAAAAAACCCAGAACGCTATACTTTTCCTCAACAAGTTTGTCAGGAAAACAAGAGAGGCTGGAAGGCTGTATTTGCCTATTTCTCAACTTTAGCTTGACTCTGGCTCTGACCCTGTCAGAAGTAACAAAGTAAGTCTGGCGTGGAGGAGTCCGTAGCACCGCTGAGTATCTCTGTGATGTATGGACAGAACTCGGATTTTCATTATGGAAGAAAAGGCACTTCAAGAAGGTGATTCACTCAAATATTTTGCTTCTATTGAATATTTCCATTTTATCTCTGTGTTCCATGTCTGTGTGGGTTACCTTCTGTTTCCCACTTTGTATTTTTATTCTCACAAATTAAATACTAGGGGTTGTACATAATTTGAGAAAGAACTTTTCATACACAGAAATAGCTGCTCTAAAATTAAAAATCTTTGCCATAAATATTTCTGTACACCAGACGTGTATCTCTAGCAATACTAGTGATATTTTCTGGATTAAACCATTTTTCTGTTTCAACCGAAGCATTGCAGTTGTTTGTGTTATTTAAAATATCCTGTGTAGCTAAGCTTGTTATAAATAAAGAATGTCATTACTTGTGAACTTGGCATTTTTGTTCTGTTGGCACAGTGAACTAAATAGGCACCATAACCGCTATTTTTTTATTGGAGCAGGTTTTAGAAATAGAAGTACCGCAGTACCCTTTAGTGTTGCAGACAGACATTGGCAGCAGGAAGCTAGTAACAGCTTCAGTAGAAGCAGCAGTAACTTTTTTTTCTTCCTGGATGGTGCCCTGTCCACATACAGATTTAAGAATCCAGAATGATTTATTCCAATTTTCATGATCTTTTGTAGTACATAGAATTACATCCTGAGCCACAGTGGAATTTTCTTCAGAAGTGCTAGAAAAGACCCCTGAAGTTATTGTAATAGGATACTACTAATCACCAGTTCTGAGTCTGCTCTGACAGCTCTTGAGAGCCTGACAGAAGGAACGTAGGCTCCTCCATGACTGTGCAGGCACATGCTTCCCCTGAGGGCTGAAACTCACCTCGTGAGATCATAACTTGATGTCATCCAGCTTACACAGTGCAGTTCTGTATCTTTTTGCAGAGAAAAGCCATTACTCCCATTCTGTCTTTCTGTACATCTGCATAATAAACACCACCAGCTTGGTGTGTGTGTCCCTTCAGGTCCTGCCAGCTGTCTGATGGAGAAAGTCCTGAGCGTGGCCATAATAACTATTTCTCCTATGAACTGCATTTTCCACATCCCTGCAAACAACAGGTAATATAAATTAGAGATTAATGATACACACGCATTGTTTCTTAACATCTCAAAAGTCCACCAAGCATATTAGAAGTATCATAATTTGAAAAACTGAAAAAAATACTAAAGAGTTTGAATAGTACTGGTACTAGGTTCAGCCATTAGTGGCTTGCTCTTAATACTGTGCGTACAAACTGCTTTGACAAGCTCCCTCTTGGGCCATTCGTTATGTGCCACGTATTTAATGGAAAACCTAGGCTGAGTGAAAAGGACTACAGCTGCCTTTGCTGGTGTAAAAAAATCACAGCCATTGGGTAGGATCCATTTTCACTCGCTACCCTCAAAGGTTGCGTGTTTGGTAAGCTTTGAACTGTTTCTTTTCTGGAACTGATTTTTTTTTCGTCTTTCTCTGGCAGGAAGTGAGAGCAAAGACTTGTCCCACTCTTATTTGTGCAGTTACTTCATTATTTGTATATTATTATTCCATAACATACACACATACATATACATATATGCATACGCATAAAACGTAATTATTACGATACTTGAATTCTTTCAAGGGTGTTGAATTAAAGTCTCTATTTAATCCCACTAATCCAATTCTCTGCAAAGCTGTAGCACTGTATTAGTGCTTTAGTCTCAGGCTTTTCAAGATTCAGACCCTGCAAATACTGAAGTCTTACAAATATGCAAGCTCAGCCTGAAAGTCATCTATGATGCATATATAAATCATGACAAGGAAGGACCTCAAGTCACACCATACAACAAGCATGTTAGCAGAGAATTCCCAGTTCGAGAAATCCCCACTTGTTCTATCCATTTTGGCTGCCTCCTTTGACCATCAGAGAGAACAGGGACAATGTTATTTACATGGAAAATGGAAGAGGAATTTGAGAGTCAACTGCATGACTGCAGGAGCTTCCAACCCGATACATCATCAAGTATCTATTTAAAAGCAACAACCAAACCAACAATTTGGACAAAGATGATCCCACATTCCCAATGCAGTACAGGCTAAGCTTAAAACTGCCAGTTCACTGCTGCTCCCTTACCCACACACTCCAGTGAGAGAACAGACTGCCCAATGTTTGTTCCCTGCGGCACAAACTGCATTTAAAGTGGAAAACACACATTTCCTTAATAAAGGGCTTTGTTGCAACTTCACCACTAATAAGGGAATTACAGCCCTGACTTGGACATCGGCAACCACCAAAACAGAAACCCTGGCAAAGGCCAGATGAGCTGCCTATGGGGCAGAATACGTTAGTGCCTCAGCCTGCCCTCGGCATGTCTGATGTGGTGGGTGCTGCGCCCCACGGGATGGCGCAAAGCCCCACTGGGCCCTGGCTGCACCCTGAGGTGGGCACGAGACGCCCTTCATGGTGCCAGTTCACCTGCTTTCACCACAGGGCCTCGACGTGCAAGTGGGTCCAGATCTGGGTCAGATCTTTACAGTATTCTGCCACAATGCAATTTATAAACCCTGGCAAGTGAATAAATATAGTTAAGGACTCGTGTAATAAAATTGCTACCTGTAAATTCCTTGTAACTGCAGGGAGGCAAACATGATGTATATTTGTGAAATAACTAATCTTTTCTCAGTGGTTAATAGATACAGCAAAAAGAAAAAAAAATATCTGTGTGGTTAAAAAAAAACAACAAAAGGAGGCCAGATTCTGAGATGATGTGAATGGATCTAGTTTCCCTGGAGACCATGGAGATAACTTGACTTACACCTGCTAAGGTTTTTCCACTACGGTGTAGATCTGTAACATAAAATCAGATTAGAAGCCCTAGCATACAGATTCCAGGTTTACAAAGAAAATTTCAAGGTGGAGATTTCTTCAGTTTTATGAAAAAAAGAAAATGGAAGTTGTTTTATTGCTAATAATGATTATTTTATGTTTTGATAGTAACTAGGAGCCCCAGGAAAATTCTCGATTAGATATAGTGATACGGTATTCAACACAGAGCAAAAAAAGGCCTTAACTGAAAAGTGCTTACAATCTAACCTCCATCTGCAAGAGGAATCTCATGATACGCCTTATCCATTACCCAATTTTCTTCGGCACCTCCTCTACTCCAGCTATCATCTCCTATGTGTATTTGTTCTGCCTTCCCCTGCAGCTCTGTCCTGAGGGAAACTATACTTTTATATTCTTGATTAACAAGTAAGGCTGTAATGTTTCTCTTTAAAGCCATGTATCTCAGGCTTTAATGTTTCTCGTTAACGATGTGTATCTCGCCCACACTGACATTTCCTGCAGTCGTCATCACATCTTGTTCCTTCAGCTAACCATTTCTTAATAAATGCATAGAAATTTGCCTGCAGCTACCAAACACAACCACCTCCTCAGAGATTCATGGGTGTTTCTGAAGTTCATTGTAAGCACTGGGAAGATTGTAAAATGGTTCAGTTCTGTCAGCACAAAACTGTCTAGTACTCAAAGAACCATTGCTAGTGCTGCAGATACTACACACAGCTTTGTAAATTAATTGCTTACTGCGGCCCCGAGACTATTCAAAGCTTCCTCAAGTTGCTAGCACACGAGGTCTCATATGCCCTTTCATCTGCTGCATTAAACCAGATAAGTTCCCTTAATTTCATAACTTTCAGAGTTATCCCTAACCCACACTCCTGATGGAAAGACAGAAAGCAAAGCTGTGCATTTCATCTCTTCTAATTGGAATGCTAAAACCTGGGAGCTAAAGTCAGAAGTTATTTCTGAGATATTCTAGAGTGACAGAAGTACGACATTACCCAGTTTTAATATTTTGGGACAGTATATTCTTCTGAGGTTGCCTCAGAACTTGCAAGGCAAAAGGCTGCTTGCAGTTATGCTGCTTATGCTATGAATGACACTGAGCAGGTAACTATACTGTACTAATATGAAAAATATTTGCATTTCAAGTGAGGTGGATGACTGCTCTTGAGTTGTTTATTTCTACAAGGAAATGGCAGTCCCACCAACCAGTATTTGAAAACCTCTCTTAAGTCACCCTGTGCTGTTTGCTATAGACATGGTTCAGAGTCCTGTTATTAACAGATCACCAGCTATGGAAAACTCAACAGCAATTCTCTAGCTGCTGACAAGAGTATAAGCAGAAAGTGCCCTAGGGAGAGTGAAACTAACAAAACCGAGCACTGGGGATCTCCCAAAACATCTTGCTTCATTTAAAACAAACAACCCCACCCCCCCCCAAACACACACACACACACCCCCCAAAAAAAAAGAAAAAAAAAAGGCAAGAGTTGCAGAAATAGTGAGGTCTGCAAAAGATGCCTTAAATGAGACTTAAGAAGTCTGATGGATTCAGTTCACTAAAGGAACAAAATTTAGAGCTGACTTGATCATACTCAATAAACATGGGTAAAAGATTTCTATCAGAGGTCACTTAGTCTGAAAGACAAAGACAAATTGAAAACAGACATGTGAATAGGAAAGATGATCAAGTGCCATTTATAAGCTACGGAGCTCCTTCCTCCGACACGGGTGGGCTTTCCTCTCAGTAAAGGGCATCTCACCGAAAGAGCTACCCCACTTCCAAGAGAAACAAGGGCCTGCTGCAGAGATTACTGGGTTAAATTCGGTGTCCCTGTGATCTGGGTTGGGGCAAGGAATAATGGCTTTTGGGGCCCACGTATCAGCTATGGAAAGGTGTTGTACAGAAACTCGTGGACACATTAAAACGCACTGGAGACTGAGAGTACTTTAAGGAACAAGTTTTTTGCCCAGGGTCACTAGATGATGCCAGAGACGAGTAC